ATAGGCATTTTATAAACGTTTATTATATCCCTCATTGCTGCAACTGCAGAATTTTAAGTATTGTTAAAATTAATCATTTCACTTGGCTTTTTAAAATTCAGACTTGTTGGAGTAGTATGTAATTTAATGATTTTATAATTTTATATTTTAAAAATATTTAAAATAATTTTTTTTCCTCAGCAAAGGAAGAATAGTAAGAAGGTACGAGTGACAGTGAAGCCTCATTTGCTATACAGAGTAAGTTTTTTTTCAAGGAATTCAAAGTTGTTGCTTTTACTTTGAAAATATGGAATGGACAAAAATGTTTTTAATATATTTGTAGGAAAACTTTTTAAAAATTAGAATTAATAGCTTTCTTCTCTTTAGCCTTTAGAACAGCAACATGGAGTCATTCCTGATCGGGATGCAGAGTTTCGTCTCTTTGACCGTGTTGTAAATGTGAGAGAGAACTTTTCAGTTCCAGTTGGCCTTCGGGGCACCATCATTGGAATTAAAGGGGGTAATGTCTCAATTCTTGACATGTCTTCAACTACATTTATATTGTAAAGTAATACACAAGTTTGTGTGTTTTTTATATGTAAGCTGAAAGCAACTGTAAACCAGGGAAAAAAACTAAATCCTTTTTATGTTTTAGTTAATTTTTTTTTTTAATTTCTACTTTTCAGAGAAAATTCTCCTTTTTATTTAATCATCTGGGAAGTATTTAAAAGAAGGGGAAATTAAGAAAGGGCTACTGAGAATTTGGTAGTTTATAAATATTAAAATTACACATCATATTGGTAGGTGTACATATGTTTTCATGAAACAGAATTTTTATCACTTCTCCTTAGTTAGTCTTCTGTATAACCTTGCTCAGAGCTTTGCCTTAATTTTTATTGTAATCTCTTGTTTTCTATGGAGAAATAAACAAACATGACGTTATTTACAGTTAAAGTATTTGAAAATTAAATGTGTACTAATTTGAATTTTATAAATACAACAGAATTGTGTATATAAAACAGACCTACCAGTCTGTTGCACAATTTACATATAGTTAACACTACTGTAAAAATAAAAATGGCTAAGATGGTAAATTTTATGTTATGTGTTTCTTACCATAATAAGAAAAAAAAAGAGTGTAGAGAAAAGGGTAGAAGCAGCTGAGGATCTAAATGTCCCTCCATGT